TATCCTATGTCTTTTTATTTGGGAATTTAGTCCAAAGATGTTGAGAGATAGTAAAGACAGGTGATTGTTAGTTCCTGTTATTTTTGTTATAAAGGGTGGTATGGTGTGTGTGTGTGTGTGTGTGTGTGTGTGTATGATTCTTTACTTTTGGGATTGTTGTGAAATGTTTAATTTCTTGTGTTTCCTTGGGTGAAGTCATCCTCCTTATGTTCGAGATTCCTTTTAGTATCCTCAGTAGGGCTTGATTGGTTGAAATATATTGTTTAAATTTGTTTTAATTATGAAATATCTTAGCTTTTCCTTCAATGATGTTTGAGAGTTTTGCTGGGTATAGTAGCCTGGACTGGTATTTGTGTTCTTTTACGGTCTGCATTACTTCTGTCCAGGATCTTCTAGCTTTTAGGGCCTCTGTTAAGAAGTCTAGTGTAATAAATAGGATGAATAACAATTTACATCCAGGGAAGAGAAATCTCCCTGAGAATCCCCTTCTTTTTCCTTTCCAGGTAAAAATGAATCACCCATGATGTCTGCTGTTAGAAGTTCTAATCCAGATGCTGGCCTCCGAACTTATACTACTCAGATCTTTGAAGGGCCACTGAGAAGAACATCAAACAGCTAGAGATTGACATCACTAATCTGAAGAAATCCCTCGTTTCGCGGTCTGAAGAGACCTCCTAAAATCGCAAAGATCCTTATTGGACTTGATTTACTCTATTATAATAGAAAAGGCTGTGTACAGCTCTTGACTGTGTACAAGCCTCAAAGAAGAAGGTTGCCTTTACATAGACAAGGAGGGTTAAAGAGAGCATGAAATAGGTAGTGAAGGCCCTAAGAAAAATCAGAGAGAGAAAGAGACAGATGAATACTGGTACAAGAATTGGTTTTCAGCCTCTCCAAGGTTGTCAACCCTATTTCCTTCCATCTTGGGACCATTATTTGGGTTCTTTTTGCTTTTTTCTGCTGGTCCTTGGCCATCAAATAGGCGGACTAACTCTGTGATACAACAGATAAATAATTTGGTAGCAAAACCTACTCAGAAACATTATCATAAGTTAGCTATGGAGGACCATGAGACTCAAGATGAGGTTGTTACTTTATACGGGGTGTTTCCAAAACCCATCTCCACCCAACCTAAAAGGGGGGACTTCTGACCCTAGACCAAGCAGAGAGGGGCCACCCAGAACCCCCTCTGACTGGTGATCTGAATTCTTGCTTAGGCTGCGAGGCTAAGCACTGCAAGGGAATATAAATAAAAGATAAAAATATCTATCTGGGTTCCCTGAGGGACAAGCCTGACTGCATAGGGGTTGATGTCAAAAGTATCCCCTCTCCAGGAAAAAGACATTGGGACGGATATGGCCCTCATGCCTCACTGGACAACGACAGGGGGACTGGAGCCATTACAAGGTCCCCTTCAAATACTGGAGGTCAGGCCTCTATCCCCACCTTCGCAAGTTTAGAATTGTCACAGCCCTTCTATACTTAGAGAAGGGAGGAGATGTCTGGGGCAGCCCTGCTCTACACACTGTAGGCCTAAAATCAGCAATAGGCCTGTCATAAATGTATACTAACACCAAGTCTTGGGTCTCAGTGGAAAAACATTGAAACAGATGGGTATAAGCTAATGTCAACAGGCAGATTTTGTGGAAATTTACAAGCCTGAGTAGTCATAGACCTTGTAAATAGGTAACCTTGGCAGACAATACCAACTTAGATAAGGACAATCGAGTCATAGGCAGAGTCATAGTGACTTGTCCCCTCAACCTTCACCTAGCTGATACCCGGTTCTGAAGATATCTGTATTCCCCCTGAACACCCACACTCCAGTGTCATTCCCTTCCCCACATCCTGCCTTTCTGTGTGTATAACCCCTGTGTGAATGAATTATGATTTGAGAAAAAAAACTGATCTTAACTATTGAAACATTTCACAAGTTATTCATTATCAAGGGTAGATGAAGTAATCCTCCCCTTCTCCCTCGGTGTTCTCTGAACATCACCTGTTTGCCTGTGTGTCTGTGCCTCTGCTCCCAACTTCTACTGGAGTAAGCCCATCTGATAATAACTGCACTAGGCACCAATCTACGAATATAGCAAATTATCATTGGGAATGATTTCATTAAGGTTTTGCTAGTAGCGTTTGTATTTCTGAGATATCTAATATCCAGTTTCCGGTCACACAGGTATGAAACATGAGCTCCTTCTTATCGTGTGGACTTCAAATTAGACCAGAAATTGGTTGTCACACCCATAAGCTGTGAGCCACCATTGCCCCAGCGCACCTTGAAGCAGGGCAGGTTGTAGGTGGAAAATGTTGTGGCTGTTTGGGTGATAAAGTTCCACTACTGAAAGCCTTGCCTGGTTTTAGATGGTCAGAATCCTTCATCACCTGGAGTCCTAACTAGGGTCACCCTCACAAATTCCAAAAGTTTCCACTGCACTACATTTCCACATCACGCCTCAAATGCCCCCCCCCATTTCCAATCATCTCTCTCCCATACTCTCTTCATCCCTCCCTATCCCACTTGATCCTTTCTTATTCCCATCCCTGCTAACCCCTAGTTTACCTCCAAAGTCTATTCCATATCCCCTTCCCAGGTAGATTTATGCATTCCCAGTAAAGGTCCTTTTTTTACTTAGTTCCTTTGGGTTTCTGGATTATCTTTTACTTAACAGCTAATAACCACTTACAAGTGAATACATACCATGCTTATCTTTATGGGTCTGGGTTGCCTCATTCAGTATGATTTTTTTCTAGGTACATCTATTTGCCTGAGAATTTCATTGTCTTTTTTTAACAGCTGAGAAATACTCAATTTTATTTGCGTATCATATTTTCTTTACCCATTCTTCAGCTGAGGGATATATGTAAGTGTAGTATAGTGGAAACTTCCCGGAATTTATGATGGATACAAAGGACATTGTTTTCAGCTTCTGGTAGTGTAACTAAAGTCACCGTGAGCATTCTTGAGGAAGTGATAGGATAAAGCTTTGGTTACATTTCCAGGAGTTGTATAATTGAGTTTTAGTAGATCTATTCCCAGTCCTCTTTGGAAATATCATATCAATTTCCATTATGGCTGTAGAAGATTGAACTCCCACCAGCAATCAAGTATTTCCTTGCTACAAATCTCTGGCAGCATGAATTGTTCTTTTGTTATTGATCTTAGCCATTCTTACAGATGCAAGATGGAATATCAAAGTAATCTTGATTTGCATCTCTCTGATGACAGAAGTCAAACAGTTCTTTTAAGTGTTTCTCAGCAATTTGAGATTTCTCTAATAAGAATTCTCATTTTTATTCCCATATTTAAGAGGATTATGTGGTGTTTTAATACCTAGTTTCTGAGCTCTTTATGTATATTATATATGAGTCCTCTTTTGGATGTGGAATTTATCAAAATACTTTACCATTCTGTTGGTTGCCTATTAATCTATAGCTCATTTTCAATAACAATTCATCAGAAAAAATCTTTAGGATGATAGACATAAAGTTATCAGTATGTGTTGAGGAGAACTGCTGGTTGCACCCTGCTCTGCTGGCCTGAAAGGGTTAGCTGGGGATTTTAGGGGTGAGTTCAGGGGCTGCCCCTCCTGAATGGGATGAGTGTCCTAACATAACTCTTGGCATGCCTTGCAGTTACCTCCATGTTCCAGGGAATAAGTAAACACACTTTGAGGTAGCCTGGAGGCTGAGATAATGTGTTCCTTAAGTCTTGGTATGCTGTCAAGAGTTGAGAGAATGTGTTTCTTTGAATGTTCTCAGGATGATAGCTTTTATTCCACACAGGATTTTATTGTATCAGTAAGAGATGTTATTATAATTTCAATATTGCTAAGTCATATCGTTAGTATATCTTTTACTGCTGAAGTAAAGGCTTTGCTACTTGCCACCAGAGCTACTTTCCGTTCATTAAGGCGTCTTTGTGAGCTGGTCTCCGTCAATGTGTGAGTAATAATATTTCAAAGTAGGTTTTCTTGGTCAACATGCAAGGATTTAAAAGGAGTAAAGCCAGACCAAAGAAGTGAAAACTTTTTCTTTTGCTTAGGTAGTACATGTTAGTTTATGAGAAGTATACATGTGTGTTTTCTACAATAAAATTTAGATTAGTAAAATGACAATTATGTACTAAGATATCTGAGTTATTATCCTCACAAAGAGGAGATAAAATATGTAGAAACTATTCAAATAATAACAAGAATGGTTTTGTTTAGACAACTCAGGTGGTTGAGGCCAGAGTTTATGAGGAAATTAGAACATATTTGATCTATAGAGTGGAAACCTCCCATTTATCAAAAGTAAGAGTGTAGAGAACTTTTAGTGCAGCTTCTAGAAATTTGGCATTTGTCCTTGGGCTCAAACAAGGAAATAGGATCAGATAAGAATATTAGAAACAGGGAACATGGGTTTTGCTTACTACTTTGATTAAAAAACTACCTTATATGATCTCATTGGTTACTAATTTGCTTGATTACTATTTTGTGCGATCTCTTTCTTTGCTATGTTACTTGATTGCTTTTCCTTTGATCTAAGAACTGGCTATAGTTTTTGGATGTACCTAGAATGATATAAAAGCTTACTGGAAAAAAATAAAGCTGCTTCAGCCTCAGCACAGGCTGCAGTCATATTATAATGTTGTCTAATTGTCTTTTTTTTCAATCATCACTCCCTCCCTTGAGACCCTGTTGACTGATTGAGCCGACTTGGTCATAAGGCATTGACTTTCTAAGATAATTGTAAATATTTTTGCCTGGTGAAAGATGAGAAGTTTGAGGCAGGTACTCTGTATCATAGGTTGGACTGGAACTCACTCTTTACTCAGAGTTACTATTGATTACATAGCAATTATATTACCTCAACTTACCTAGTGTTGGAATTATAGCAGTGAGTCACCATACCTGGTCAAAAAAATATGTTCAACCTTTATTTATTGAGTAGAGTTTATTTTTAATGACATTACTAATCTGTCCTCAGTGTTTGGCATTTAAAATGGCAGACTTTCAATAGTTGAAAATAAGAGAACAAGGATAATTAGGATCTCTCAAGATCAACAGTAAAGGAGAAATAGTGGGGAAGCTTGACATTAAAACTTCGCCTACATGTCTCAGCCACAGACAAGAGTCTACAAAAAACATGTGAAGGATAAAGCAAATACAATGTAGAAGATAAAAGCTTACAAATGTGACCACAAGCATCACAATACTATGGGCTGCTCTGATCTCAGCATAGCCTTTGTGTTCTTGATGGGGAGTAAGAATGTGCTTTAGTCTCTGGTGGTGTCTGTACAGGATATGTACCATGGAGACACTGGTCCAGATCGTGACACTGATAAATATACCATCATGGGCAAACTGTAAAAAGATAATGCCTACACTGAAGCCAGAGGTAAAACAGACCCACTTACTTTTAATGTCAGTTTCATTATGTGTGTTCTGTGGACCACTGACTTTCATTGGAATGTAGACATTATATAAGACACCAAACAACCAACAACTGCAACAGGAATAGCTTATGACCTTGGGACTTCTTCTGAGCATCAGCTCACCAAAATTACCAGGAACAAGAGTAACAAACTGATAGCAGCACAGGATACAGGTGAAGCACAAATTTGTGCTTCTTGCCATCAGGAGAAGGAAATATTCAAGTTTACATGTGAGGTCATTCAGAGAATTCCTTTGAGCAAAACTCATCACATTGTTTGGAAACACAGTCATGAGGAGAATCAAAATGTTGGCCACAGCCATGTGAGTAAAAATCACTTGTCTGGGCCTCAGCTGACATCCAGTCAAAAGTGGAGACAAATTATGGACAAACAGAATAATATTAGCTACAGTCCCTATCCCAACCTGACAAAGCAAAAGGATCTGAAGAGCCACTTCTTCAGTGGTTTTCATGGCTTTATCCTGAGAAGATATTAAAGGACTTCAGTGCCAACTGAAGAGATGACCAGAACTTGGAAATCTGTTATATTGTCCACACTTATCAGTTGATCTGGGCTGATTTCTTCTAGTCAGAAGGGAGAAATTGCTGCATTCCATTAGAGATTCTTTGCTTGAGAACGCTGCATGGACATTAACTAAGAATATAATTTTGTGTCTTTGAATTCCTCTTATTTTTGAAAGAAAGCTATATAGATGTCACAACTATTTCTCTAGTGGTCAACAACATAATGACATTTTAACACAATACAGGCTTTGAAGGTGAATTTGTGAAACGTAAAAATAAGAGTCCACTGTTCATTAGCGTGTAATCATTCTTCATACTATACTATCATTAGGCATGAAAATAATATGCATCTGCTGCTAAGAATGTGGGTTAAATGAATTAAGTAGCACGAAAACAAAGAATCAAGAATTTTCAGAAAACTATATGCTATTCACCAACGTGAGAGAATATAAAATATTTCCACAGAGTCACTAGTATTCTTATCATGTACATGAGTCTCAACTTATGTATAGAGTCTGTATATAGAAAAAATAACTGGGAACTAAGTGATGTCATTTATTCACAATATTATGCTTCTTAACTCTATTACTAGAAAATCGGATGCTGGAGACGTGACTGAATCATAGTCAGATTCTCTTGGCCACTCTGGAAAACATTAAAACCATCAGAGTTCAACACATGTACAGATTATTTTGAAATTCAGATTTAAAAGCTCATATTTTATTTTCCACTTACTTTATATTTTGTTTTCCATAGGAACAGTCAGATCCATATACAAAAATCTACAACTCCACATATAGCTATCACATTCAATGCTATTTTTCAGCTGAGTACTAAGGCATGAAACACATTTTGGATAAAAACAAAGAATTGACCTATTTAATTAAACTGTTGATTTACAGATGAAACCATTTTTAATGTTGGCTTTAGATGACAATGAACAATGTGGAATAGAAAAGAGAATTTTAAATGGAAGCCTATGCTTGAAATAATTCTACTTGCCCAGCCACAGCAAGGGTGAGAATGATCAAACGATGAGGGACAGCTACTGATCTCCGTCATGTAAAAGCATAGCTAGATGTGACTCTCACGTTAAATAGCCTCTCTGCATATCTCTTTATCTGATAAAATAATGCAAGGAAATGCTTACCTGTCCCTTACTCTCCTTTCAATGCTATGAAAGTTAATGTTGGTGAATCCAGGTTTCCAGGTGTTATAAAATGATAGTACAGGTAAATGTAACATCCCACACAGAGTCTGTTACTTTATTACCTGTGGTGTCACTGCATGGAGACTTTGGGATACCTCAGATGAAGGGAAAAACATTTATCCCCAAAGCAAGTTGCCACTTTCACCTCCTTATAGTTAATGATGATATTTGGCAGTTGGCTAGACACTAATGTGTAGCTGAGCAGAATTTAGGAAAAGTTTTCCAAGTTTCCTTTGGGAGAAAATTTGGAAGTTCTGGACTGTGTTGCAATCAGAAATTGAAGAATGTACTCCAGGGTGAATCAATGGATTTGTTTATTGCATTTTTAATCAGGTACATTCTACAGCACTGTGGCACTCTTCTAAAATCCTCCTGATAATAAGTAGTTCCAAAAGGACCATCAACACATGATCTAGAGTGTAGTATTTGCTATGAAGTTATCCCACTCCAATTTTTCCCTCATGCTGCCCAAAACTGTTTACTGCGTCAAATTACCACCTGATACCAAGGTTTGCCTCATGAGTCCTTCTGTAAATACTAGTGTACTTTTTTTCTTTATGTAGGTTATAACTTATTTTCTGGTAAACCAAGCCATAGAGCCTTGGGTACTTGCAAGGCCTAGTAGCCTCTGCTCATTTTTACAAAATCTGCTGTGAAAGAATCAGTTCTGGACATACAGACAAGGTAATGTATAGAGCAACTCATTAAGAAATAAATATAACCATCCACATGCATTGCAACTCTAGTTACAATAGACAAGAAATAAAAATAACCCATAAGTTTATCATATTATTAATGAATATGTGGTATATTTACACATCAGAATATACAACTGTGGAGAAAAATTTACATCGGTGGGTCAATGGGAGAACTAGAAGTAATCAATCAGTGTGTGAGATTTCCGAGAAACAGAATGGCAATTATCTTTCCCATGGAGGGATAAGAATACCAACTTATCCACAAAACATTTGACCCAAAATTTGCCCTGTTTATAAGAAATGGAGAGACAAATTTGAAGATGTGACTGAGAGAATGGCCAAACAATAATGATGCTTACTCAAAAATGTTTGTTGCAGCCCTATTTATAATAGCCAGACATTTAAAATAAAGTAGATGTCTTTTAACAGAAGAATGGATAAACAAAATGTGGTACATTCATATACAGAATACTATTCTGCTATGTTAAAAATGGCATCAAAAATTCTGCAGACAAATGGATGGAAATAGAAAATATCATTCGGAATGAGGTAACCCAAGCCCCAAAAGACACATATAGTATGTACTTTCTCATAAGTGAATAGAAGCCATAAACTAGAGAATACCCATGCTACAATCCACAGACCCAAAGAAACTAAGTAACAAGAAGGACCTAAGGTAAGATGCTTGAATCTCTCCAAGAAGGGAAAACACAGTAAATATGAGGGTGAATGGAGAGAGGGAACTATGTTGGAGAGAATGTGGGAGGGGATATAAATAATCAAGTGTGGGAATTCGAGAGGGTGAGATAATTGGGACTGGTGGGGATAGATAGGCATCTCGGGATGAACTAGAAACTAGGACAAAGGAAACAGGAACTTATAAGGGTGACCCTAGATAATACTCTTATCAATAGGGAATATAAAACGTGAAATGGCCACCTCCTGTATCCAGGACAGATTGCCAATGGTGGACTCCAAAACCACCAAGAAAAATCTTCAACCCACTCTTTGTCCTACCTGTGAGAGGTGCAGGGCTAATGACAGAGAAAAAATGAGGTAATGGCCAACCAATGGTTGGTCCAACTTGAGACCCTTGCTGAGAAAGAAAATAAGAGGGAGAGAGAGAGAATGACAGAGAGACAGACACACACACACACACACACACACAGAGAGAGAGAGAGAGAGAGAGAGAGAGAGAGAGAGAGATCACTCCTAACACTATTAATGATATTCTCTTATACTTTCAAACAAGAAAATAGATAACTGTCCTCTGAGAGTCTTCACCCAGCAGTCTGTGGAAACAGATGCCTAAACCAACAGCTAAACATTATGTAGAACCTGGGGAATCTTGTGCATTAGAGAGAGAAGAGATTCAAGGAACCAGAGGGGTCAAGTCACTCATAAGAAAACGTACAAAATCAATAATCCTGTGCCCATAGAGGCTCACAGAGACTGAACCACCAACCAAAGAGCCTGCACAGAAAGGACTTTGGCCCCCTGCCCATATGTAACAGATATACAGCTTGGTCTTTAAGTGGACTCCTAACAACTGAAGCAGGGACTGTCTCTGACTTTATTGTTTGTGTTTCCCCTAACTGAGCAGCCCTATCTAGACTTAATAGATGCACATAATCTTACTGCAACTTGATATGAAAAGACAAGTTAATATCTGGTCAGAAAATCCCATTCTCTGACCGGAAAGAGATGGATATATTGGGGGAGAAGAATGGGGGGGGGAGCCTGGTAGGAGATGAGAGAGAGGATTCTCTGATTGAAACATAAAGTAAATAAAGTGGTAATTTAAAAAGAAAAAGAAGTTGAAAAAATAATCTCCCAGGCCAAAACAACAACAAACAAACAAACAAACAAACAAAACGTGCTTAGGGCTAGATGGTTTTAGTGCAGAATTCTACCACACTTTTAAACAATGATTAATGCCAATATTCCTCTTCAAATTATTCCACAAAATAGAAATAGAAGGAACATTGCCAAATTCATTTTCTTTGACCTCAGTTATCCTGACACACAACTCACACAAAGACTCAACAAAGAAAATTACAATTTTTCTTTATCAACATAGATGCAAAAATATTGAACATAATGCTTTCAAACCAATCCAAGAATTTATCAAAAATATCATATACCTCTATGAAATTTGTATCATTCCAGAGATGCAGTATTGGGTCAATATATAAAAATCAATAAATGTAATCAACTGTGGGGAATGATTAGTTCATGCATAGGTGCGGGCATGGGTTCTTGAATCTTGTTGGGCTGTTGTGATTCCCACAGCTCCAGAGAAACTGGAGTGCGGGAATCTTGACTGAGCTTACTGCATGCACAGCACCAGGCAGGCGCTATGAGGCCCCACCCAGTGTGTGTGTGGGGGAGTTCTCAGCCTGAAGTTCCACGGGGGCAAAGAGCTCTTGGATTGGGGATCCCTGGGCCAAGAAGTGGACGGGGACTGACTGGTCTCAAGCCCTTGGGCTCTCAGACACTGCTGAGAGACCACAGAAGGACCAAGACTTGGGGAGTGTGGGTGCAAGACAGGCTGGGCCCCAACCGAGAGAAACGAGGAGGGGAGAGGAGAAAGAGGCCCCTGGCAGTGCCCTGCAGGAGAGACTCGGTTACTGTACGGTTACTGTACTTGCTTAGCAGACTCGGCGGCATGGCTAGCTTGGTTCAAGATGTGGGTCCCCGTAACTGGAAAACAGAAAGGTCCTCTAGGCGGGAAGTTAGATGTGGCGACTGCAGTGGATCATCATTAAAGGCCTTCTCTGTGTTTTCCCCACAGAGGGCTCCAGAGACATGAGAAGGTCCATGGTTCCAAAAGGATTTATTTTCATGGTGGGTGTAGATGGATCTTGTAGTACCCCTGTGAAACTCAGGGCAGACCCGAGTTAAATAGGGAGGGAGAAGGGGGAAGGGTCTGTGGAAGAATGCTTAATTGGCTACGCCCTCTGGCCTTCAGGTATCTCATTAGTATGTAAATCTCTCTAGGGCCTGAGGCCTGTAGTCACGCCCTCTACCTGTGCTCTTTGGGAGGAGTTACATTGCCCTACGTGACT